CATCCCAAAAATGCTCTTTAGAGGCCACGGGAATACAGTGAACTCATTGTTATGTACGAGTTTGAGATTATTTGAGTTTTGTTGTAGGAACATAGGTCAGAGACTATACTAAAGTAAGCTGTGGCATTTAAATTTAGCACACTTTGAGGGATTTAAGAGGCCCAAACAATAATACAAGGGAGGACGGATCCATGCTTTCATATTGTTGAAGCTAAATTCTGAACCTACCACCTGAAATTATCAGACCAGGAAACGTTTTTAATTGAATAGGTGTATTTTACCTTATGAAGCATCCAGTAAGTGTACATTTTTTCACCGAATACTGATTTTATTAAACTCCTAGCTAGTTTCTCTGAATGTTCACCTTCCAGATATCTGGATCTGTAGGCATCCTCTGGAAAAATACCCCTGAGATAGGTGATAGAGGAGACAGCCACGACCATCATCCTTTTCACAAAGAGTAAAGACTCCTGCGCAGATTTAAAGTCGTTCGGGAATAACTCCGTCCACTTTAAATAAAAGAAAAGAAAGGAGAAAACATATTCACAGTCATATCATGACCACAAGATGTCGCCATTGACTGCCTTAAACATCTTCCAGCACAGATCCGTTAAACAGGAACTTAGAAATACAAACATTGAGTAAATAACACCTAAAATATGGCATTTTTATGTAGTGAATTCAAACCTCGGCGGTTTCCTCCTTATTTTTCTTCATGCACATCTTCCCAGCTGCCATTTTCTCCTTCTTTCCTTTGGCCGGAGGTTAGCTAGGTGGTACTACTAATCAATAAACGAGCTAGCAAGATAAACAAACAATATTAAATTTCGACAAAGTATTCTTCTTAACAAAGCTCTTATGCGATTTTGGTTGTTGTTTCGGGAAGCTTATTACCACGGTGAGCAGGTAAGAAAGGAGTTATTAAATAATTAGCCGTGACCAGGCGGGGGGGGGGGAGCGCTAGCGATTTCCCGCCCAAAACATGGCGCATGGCCTGTATTTATACAGCGCTTTACTAGTCCCTAAGGACCCCAAAGCGCTCTACATATCCAGTCATCCACCCTTTCACACACACATTCACACACTGGTGATGGCTAGCTACACTGTAGCCACAGCCACCCTGGGGCGCACTGACAGTATTGGTATTGGTCCAGTTACTGACTGTATTGGTCCAGTTTTTCTTAACTTCGTAGGAAAGCAACAAGGTCAGGGAAACTGACCTTACTTTAAAATATAGGAATAAAAAAATTGTTAAACCATAAAAAAGTTTTTAATTTTTCAAATTCTTCACAAATAATAGGTTTACATAGGTCTATTTCTTCAAGTCAAATACATTAAGACCAGACCAGGGGCGGCAGAACTGGGCTGTAAAGGTTCCAGTCCAACCCACTGGAATGTTCTGGAAAATGTGAAGGAGGACATAGATGTATTTTTAACTGTATTGTTAAAGGTTTTACAGCTGTTATTACTGATAAAGACCTCTCCTGTGGTCATTCATACTATGCTAAAGTAATAAGTGATACACAAACAATTAAAAAAAAACAAAAACAAAAAAACCCAGAAAATATCCCGTTTGTATGATGTAATTTCACAATGGCTCCTTGCAAGAAAAAAAGACATTTTCTGTGAATTCTAAACTACTTTTCTGGGTAAAACTGAGACATACTGTTGAAAATGCAATTATTTTTCTTATATAAAGTGGGGTTAAAAATGTAGTCATAGTGGGTTCACCGTATATAAATGGGCTGTATGTAGCCCACGATGTATGAGTTTGACATCCCTGATGTAGACCAGTAGGCATGGCCATTACAGGCACTTTCTTTTTGCCAGCTTTACATTAACTGGATAAGTATGGTGTAACAATTATAAATCATAATTATATCCTTGTGTCTTTTAGACTAGCAAAAAAAGAATATGTAATAGAGAAGTTCAGTGAATCCCAAACACTTAGCCTAAACATAGCATTGATTTCACTACTTTTTCATCCCTTGACAAATTCAAAGTGTCTGCTGTGAGGTCTGTTGAAAGAAAAAAATAGATTCATTGTTAACTTACACTGGCATTTTCAGTTGTTTGGACAGTTGGTGTTAAAGTTTGTGGATAAACTGTGTTGTAATCAAACAGCTACTATATATTCATAATGTGTGACGTGGGTGTAAGAAAACTGACAATCAAGAAAAAATGCAAACTGTTGTTTGCTTTATTAAAGATCTTCATACATGGACATAATTCAGCATTGGCCTGTTTTTGTTGTTTAACCGTGTGTTATAACTGTTGACTGAGGAAAAAGATGCTATAAATATAAAGGAATCATAGACTCTCTTGTGCTATTGTGTAATTTATAACGTATCTGAGTAAATGTACATCATTCCAAAATATTCTTAATGTGCTTAACAATACCATAAAAAGTCATGTAAGCGTGATACATAAATACATAATAGGCAGGTGAATTTCTACTTAATTTCAGTGAAATGCTTCAGACAGTTTGGTCCTTTGTATGTAACAAAAATGGGGAATGACATGAGAGAACAAACACACATTTGGTTCTGTCAGACCGTGAAGCATACAGCATACATAATTGCAGTGTTTTAACACAATTACATACTTTGGTCTAAGTGCACTGTTCACGCTACAAACAACAAAACACAAACAGCACATCAACTACAACAGCTGGCTCACTCGTCCACAGGCACAACGGCTTCAGTAAATATTGTTCGAAATGTAATCACAAAATGAAATCTCCTACAGCAGACAGCAGACTCGGGCCATGGGCTTATTACTGCTTGGAGAAGAAATCTTTGCTCTTCTGGACGTCAGGTTTGATGGTGTCATTTCCTGGTTTCCAGCCGGCGGGGCAGACTGAAAAGATAAGACTATAATGAGTCCTGGCTGGTAGATGAAATGCAGGTGTGCAAAAGTGACACACATATTGCACCTTAAAAATAAACCAACTCTGTTCTGCATGCAAAAACAGGCAACTAAAATGACAGTTTGTGAGATCATGATACATTGCGCAGATAAGAGTGCAAACCTTTGAATTTAAATAAGCCTCTGTGGTCTTTGCACTCTCTGCCACACATTATTTCTGAAAAACCATTAGCTAGTTTACATTCAAAAGTTATAATTTGGTAAAAAGCTGATTTTCACTGCAAGTAAATGTGAGCTGTAGAAGGCAGGGTGAGAAAACAGAATTTAAAATCAAGACCCAGAATGCAGACATTACATGGGCACAGCAGAGCACCATACCTTCTCCGTGCTTATCTGTGAACTGAAAGGCTTGAACCAAACGCAAGGTCTCCTCAACAGAGCGTCCAACTGGGAGGTCGTTTATGGTGATCTGTCTCAGGGTGCCCTTGTCGTCAATGATGAATAGACCCCTGTAATAGAGAGAATTATCATCTCCTAGGTCTCCTTTAAAAATATTAAGACCAGCCCTTTGAGGACTCCACATTATTAGACTCACCTGTAGGCGATGCCCTCATCCTCTTTCAGGACCCCGTAATCTTTGGAGATGGTGCGCCGTGTGTCAGACACCAGGGGGATGTTCATGGCACCCAGACCACCCTGCTTACGCGGTGTGTTGACCCTGCACAGTCACCAAAAGATAGTATGAGGACTTAATAAAAATGAATATGGTCACTGTGGATGTGTAAAATACAAAGCTTTTTAAATACCAAGCGAAATGGGAGAAGTGTGAGTCCACTGAGGCGGCAATGACCTCACATCCAATCTTCCTGAATTCATTGGCAGCATCACTGAAAGCGATTATCTCAGTCGGACAAACAAAGGTGAAATCCAGCGGGTAGAAGAAAAACACGACGTACTTTCCTGTACCAAAGCATTAAAAAAAACACCAATGAGACTAGTGAATGCATCACTTTAATTAATTCTCATCTTTTGTAGTGTAAATAAATCTCTGCTGAATATGCTGCAGGATCACAAAACAATGAATCGCAGAGAGGAGGACCATCAAAGCATGTCAAACAGAAGGTGAGACGCAGGTTGTCCTTTACCTCTGTAGTCTGACAGCTTCAGATCGTGGAACTGTCCATCCGGCATCACCGCTTTGGCAGTGAAATCAGGGGCCGGCTTTCCAATTTGTGCATTGCCTGCAGACATCTTGAATCTGATTGGATTACAGAAGAAGAAAGCAGTCGGTGTTACACTGTGCTGTTTCTGTGTGCATAAGGTCTTCCTTATTTGCAGAACAAGGAAATGTTTCTGTTATGTGAAACACCCACCAACATTGTTTTTATGTGACTAACACCTCTTCACTAGAATGTAT